AGCTTAGTCGGTAGAGCATTCGCTTAGTAAGCGAAAGGTCGCCGGTTCGATTCCGGCAGGAGGCTCTTTTGTTTAATTACTTCGTTTAATTAATTATAAAATATAATTCTTAAATGTTATGGTTTTTGTATTTTTCTGCTGCTGCTGTTTCTCATTCTTTTGTACAGGAATAACATTGTTGTATGGAGACAAATACAGTAGGAAGATCAGAGCGATGCGTAAAGAAGACACCGGAGTTGATATGCATGGGGGCTGAGTATCGTTCTCAGCCTGTAAGATAAAGAGTATATGATTTTATTAATGTTATTTTACATTTAATTTTGTATTTCATCATATAATTATGTATTGTATCATATATTAATCATAAATTTGCGTAGAGCAAAAAGAGCCTCCTGCCGGAATCGAACCGGCGACCTTTCGCTTACTAAGCGAATGCTCTACCGACTAAGCTAAGAAGGCGTTGGTCGTCAGTGGCTGTCTCTCCAGTACAGATGATGAAGGAATATAAATGTTTTTAGTTTTCACTTTTTATTCCTTTTTATTTCTTGTTTTTAAATAAATCTTTGTTTTCAGCGCTAGTGTTGTCGTTCGCTTCAGCTGTGTCGTTTCTCGCCCGCCAAGGGAACTGCCTACTCCTTCACTTTTCTAGGTTTCTACCTGCTCTTGTATTCCGTTTTTAAATGTTTTTTTAAAAATAATATATAAAAATAAAATTCAGCAGCTAACACATTTTGGGGTGTGTTTCTTTGGTGGGGTTGTTCTCATTGAAGGCCGGACAGTCCCGGGTCACTCATCGCTCTCATTATCATTTCAAATTCAGTAATAGAACCAGAAATATATTTTTCAATCCATTTTTTAATATGTTTTCTTTTAATTATAATCGTGTAGCAACGTTTCTTTAGAGCATTTCTAGTGCAGTTTGCCGCTGCTCAGGCGTTTCATTGTATGAACCCTGTTCAGCTTCACTTGTTTCATTCTCTTCTCTTTTAAGCCTACACACAAGCACAAGCTGTGTTGTTGTTGAGTGTACACTCAACAAATAAACTTCTTTTTCGTTTCTTCTTGAACAAGATGAAGATGCGTTGGCCCTTTGACCGGTTCGACGGCGCAGTGTGCAAGGCGAGCTTGAAGATGGCGATCAGCCGGGGTAATAACAATAATAATTACTACTATTATAGCATTTAATGCTGCTACAGAAAAACCCTAGAAGGCTCTCTGCCTCAGAAGAATACGAGTCGGGGAGCAGCAGAACCAGAGACCAACACAGCCGCTTGTACTACCCTCTTCATCCTTTTACTCCTCTTTGCTGCATAATTCATTTACTCGAATTAAAGAATATTCTGTTGTTTATCGTGCAGCCCGCATGCGCACCAACAGATTGCAAAATTCCATTCGACTTCAACGCAAGGAAATCGCTGGTTTCCTTCGGTATGCGTTTCTTCCCTTTCTCTTCTTGCGCAAAGAAAGCGTACTTCTGCATATATCCTGATGGCTGACATGTCATGAAATGTACATCTGTATGATATATACATCATCAGTAATGTATTTATCCAATAAACATACCATAGTTTATGTATTTACATTCGTAGTCAAAGCCTGCGTTAAATGCAGGAAACACTGGAGGATAATTTTTTATATACATTATGTTTATCATTAATATATTATGATATTATAACTTCATTTCCTGCTATCGAACATTGATTCTCTGCCATGTTGATGTTCATTTTTAGATAACTGGAGAGGACACACTGCATTTTACTGTGTATTTCACTGTTGCTGTTTTTTTGTGGTTGTGCTGATAGAGAGGGAAGGGAAGAGGCGGCGAGGCTGAAAGGGGAACACCTGCTCCGCGAATACAAATTAGAGAGGGCTATGGAGATCCTTGTGACTGTCTGTGAACTCCTCATTTCAAGACTCGTAGGCAGACAGTGCATTCAGACACCCCTCAATCAGATACATGTTTTTCCTCCTTTGTTTTGTTGCATATCTTTGCAAGCCAAGCACAAGATCAGATCCACCTCTCTCCCCCTCCCAACGTATACGGGAGGGGCCCCTTCCAAATGTCGAGAAGGGGCCCCCCTGTGTTTCC